GATTGATTAGTGATTCCGGGCGGGTAAGCTATTAAAGCCATTATTCCTGCAAGTGTAGTGTATACGTATCGCGGGTTGTGGCGGTGATTCCCCTGGATGGCGAGATCCGGCATCGGCGTCGACCTACGACAAGCTCTAAGCTCTCGATTGGTCTCCCACGTAAATAGTGTGTAAGTAAGAGGTGAGGATAGGACAAATAAGAGGAAGGAACGAAACCCGTGAGGTCCGTAGCCCTTTATTGGGGTACTGCTACAGCATTCTCCTGGTTTGTTCGAAGAAACCTCTGAAAACTATCGAAAAAAGCAGTCGGGCACTAGAATGCTCTTCTACTGACCTCAACCTGGCTGTCTAGCTAGTGTCGAAAGGCCAGACATTGTTGGTATTCGAACCCTAGAACCTCCTGGTCGGACGTACGGCAGTGACGCCGTGACGGCGATAGTTTGGTTGGGTGGGCTGAGGGGAAGTAAGGAAGTCCAAACGAGTGGGCGAGTGTGTGGATGGGCAGACTTGGGGATGAGTGGGGATGTGGGTGCGTGTGTGAGTGTTCGTGTCTGAGACTGAGCGTGAGCGAGAGTGAGCGTGAGCGAGAGTGAGCGTGAGCGTGAGCGAGAGTGAGCGTGAGCGTGAGCGAGAGTGAGCGTGAGCGAGAGTGAGCGTGAACGAGAGTGAACGTGAGCGAGAGTGAGCGTGAACGAGAGTGAACGTGAGCGAGAGTGAGCGAGAGCGAGAGTGAGCGAGAGTCAGCGTGAGCGAGAGTGAGCGTGAGCGAGAGTGAGCGTGAGCGAGAGTGAGCGTGAGCGAGAGTGAGCGAGAGTGCGCGTGGGCGAGAGTGTGCGTGGGCGAGAGTGTGCGTGGGCGAGAGTGTGCGTGGGCGAGAGTGTGCGTGAGCAAGAATGTGCGTGGGTGAGAGTGCGCGTGTGTAAGAGTGTGCGTGTGTAAGAGTATGCGTGAGCGAGAGTGTGCGTGGGTGTGAGCGTGCGTGGACGAGAGTAAGGCCGGACTGGCAGACGGGAAGGAAGAACGGGGAAATGGCCGGAGGATCGAGTGTGTGGGCGGGCGAGTAGATGAGTGGGCGGGGAAGCAGACAAGTGAGTGGCCCTGGAGGCACGTGGGGGGGCTTCGGGGGGGGGCGTCAATGCAATGCGGTTCGCTGGACGCTCGGAGAGCGGCAGATAAAAATGCTGCGACACCCTTCAACGTTCGGAGCCGGAATGAAATCCTGAATGGAACCCTGTCAGCATAATGGATTTGAGCGTCAGCACGTTTGTGATATTTGATTCTTGAATGAAGGGTGTGTGTCAGATCAGCTGTCATTCGTTTAAGTTGTAAAGGGTTCAAATATTTAACTTTAATTTGAACATTATTACCCTAACATTTTACTTCGCTTACTTCTATCTCTACTGCTGCCTTGCTTTAGAGATTAAATATATATATAAGTAAATCTGACCTTCCATTTACATTTTCGGACATCATTTACTTTACTCTCTGCTACTAGCAAACTCTGTTGGAAAGTGTTAACTCGTAACTCGTAAAAAAAGGAAGAAAAAACTGTCAGTATTTTCGATAATGTATTTAATAAATATTTTTTATGTAACACGTTAAATGTGTGTACAATAGGGTGGTAAGAATTGTACGGGCACTAGAAACTATCATCTATACACGAGGTTTACATCAGCAACGCGAGCTATGTATGACGTCTGTTCCAGTGGCATTCTGCAAAAGCTCGCGGAAACGATAACAGCATTAGTTAACGTCACTCTTCAGACTTCATACGAAATCCGACACTGAGTAGGTTGAGGGCAGGGTGGCCATGTGCCTGCATTGTCATCATTTTGATAAATTGCACAGATGCTCGCGCGTAGTATGCAGATCCCGAAACAACATTGCAAAGCTATAACTTGCAAACTACTGTGCTATCGTGAATGCAACAAAACAAAATACATTTCGTACAGCTTAATTGAAAAATACGTACACTTCTTTTGTATTCACAATCGGAAGTTTCTTTCAATAAATTCTAACAATATTCCGCCAACATGCTGTAATCCTATCTTCCTACAAACTATTTCTCAATGTCTTGGTCCTTGCTCATCAGAATTCTAAGCGATTAGTAGTGTAGAAGAAAAACTACGATCGTACTTTGAAATAACACACAAGAATATTTATTTATATTTATCATATTTTTTCATCCAGAGGGCAAAAAATATTTCCATCCAGAGGGTAAAATTAGTCATTTCAAATCGACTTTATCACTTATAGTGCTGGATGAAGAAGTAGGTAATGCCTAAACTTCTTGCTTTTTTAAAACCTTTTTAGGAGAAAATATTGATGAACATTTTACAAGAAAAACAGTGATAGAGTTTTGTAATATTCATTAATACATGTTTTTGTTATTTTTGTGTCAGTTATTGTAATGGCTTCTATACACAAACATATGCCAAGAATAAAACGGATCTATAGAACTTCATCAAGAAAAAGAAATGCACTGGAATGTCCGATTCATCTTCTAGGGACCCATATAATGACGCCACACCGGGCGTCGTTTCCTTACTTAATGTTCATTCTTTTACCACTTTATCTTTTACTTTTTTTACCACTTACGACGTTCCTGGGCTTCCTTTTTGCCACTTTCTTAATACGCCATGATGAAAACAACTCCATGAAAACAATTTGAACAAAATTTCGTTTGATCCACGAAGGACATCAGTCACGTGACTAAATCAGTGGATTGGTCCGAACTCAACTGATACAGTGAATTGCAATTAGGTATGGGAAGCAATTTAATACTCGAATATACTGGAGCATCTTCGAATTTCCATGGAAATCTTTATTTAAATAATGCCTACATTTTAGCATTTAATAGTAATTCTGAAGTTAAACATCTATTGACAATCCCCTCAGCATTACTTCTTTTCCGCTTCCTTCATTGGTTGGCAAAATTTCCTGCGAGACAATCACTATTTCCTACTGTCTATCTTTGACAGGCTGTTTTTTGTTTACATTGCACTTTGTATTGCGTTTTGGTTAAACAAAACTATCGTGTTATTTTTTATGACCTAGCCGCGTCCCTATACTGTATATGATTTATTTGTTTTTATGATCTAGACGCGAACTAGATAAAATTACAACGTAAACAAAGTGGTGGGGCAAAATTCTATTTAAAAGAATATTTAAGTTTGTACTTTCAGCCGAGATCTTCAGGTAATTCATGTTCAAGATGAATTTGTAGAAAAAATCTTAACTACAATATAATAAAAAATGTATTTAATTAGAACATGATAAAATTTTATGTCCACATTAGTTTCTGAGAGAATTGCTCCACCCTTAGTGAAGCTACTGCAATAACAACTACAAACACGTATAAGTTTAGAATAGATGCTAAAAATTAAATTTAAATAAGTGTAAAAATTAGATTTCACAATAAGTATTGAATTATACTTGTAAAATGGACGTTTATGGTGTTCTCTTCCTTTTATTCAATTATTTGTGCTTCCACTCTCACTCACGCTGAGTAATAAACATCTAGAGAAATTATTTTAAAGGAAATAGTATTGTACTGTCCTACACTTCCAGTATCACACGTACTGCTACAATCTATATTTGCGTCAAAGTCACCACGAGCAATTGCAAATACACATAAACCTTTCCTTAGTACCGCATTTCTATGTTTATATTTTGCGGCAGACCTTGACAGATGAATAATGAAATAATAAACTAACCATAGGAACTGTTACAATATAAAATTTCGATGAACCTTATACTTCTTACTTCGGTAATGTGAGCAAACTGAATATTGAGAATAACGATATGATGTACACAAATGAACATATTGCAATTGTCTGAGAGTCCGGAGTTGTGTTGGGGTGGGCCGGAAGTGAAGAGAACCAAAATGAAGATGTTTTTTATCTTTTTAGTCGTTTAGGAAAGTAGTAGGTATTTTAAAAAAAGTTTGATTTATAAAGTATTTCATTTATGTCCTTTGTGTTGTATACCATGTAAGATTTCGAAATAAATGTTAGGGTCAAAATATAGATGATGTTAGACTACATGTGAACCAAAGGTAGAGTTCCCTTAAGCTCTTACACGATCATTACTTTTTGGATAAACGTTCTCCCGTGCTGAGTGACATCCATCCCCGCCTCGACACAACGAAGCTCGCGGGCGAATTTCTGGACTCGCGCGCCGTGAGCGGTCCGGGCCGGCACGCAGAGATATTGTTGAGTTGGGTATGCCTGTCCTAGAAGTTTTAACGTTTATTTTGTGGCTATCTGTATAAAGATTCCAGTATGAATGAACATCCGCTACAATAATTTTTAAAACTCCCTTTTACCCAGACCTCACTCGAATCATCATGTCTGTGTGTGCTCATTGTCCGTCCTATCGGCTTAGATAGCTCAGGGCAGCAACTGATGTGTCTGGAGTGTCTCTGACCTGAAGGTCCTAGGGTTCGAGTCCCGGCGGTGGAAGCATTTGTGAGTTAGGTAGCTAGACCGATTTCAGTTGCAGTCTGGAGGAGAGTTCTTGCGGCAGGCCACTTTGGTCGCTACGTTTCCCTGGTTTCTCTGATCAATAGCAGGCGAATACTGGAGACGTATAGTAACAAATCGGACATGGACCGCACGAGATCACTCCTTCCTCTTCCTTGCCCCATTCTCAGCCCTTACACTCTGTCACTCTGTCACTCTGTCTGTCTGTCTGTCTCTCTCTCTCTCTCTCTCTCTCTCTCTCTCTCTCTCACACACACACAAACACACACACACACACACACATGCACTACACTATCACACAATTCGAGAGACCAGTGAAGAACTCAGAGTTTGTCCAGTTTGGAGCTCTGCGCTACCAGTGGGAGACTCCCGGTCAGGGAAAACCTCGCTAGCAGACACGTAAATCGGCGTCGGGTCTCCATCCAGCTACCAAAGATCACCTCCCACAAATAACAAGCTCTACACTTACTCGGGCTCGTGACCCTCGCAGTTGAAACGTTAACCAATGAATCGTGCGATGTTGCACAGAGGACATCCTGCCGACGCCCGAGGCGCTGTGGGGCTCGCCCGACGGCTCGCACCTGCTCTTCATGTCCTTCAACGACTCCGAGGTGCGCAGCATGGCCTTCCCGTGGTTCGGCGCCGGCGCCGCGGGCGCTGCCATCGCCGGCGGCTTCGGCCAGTGGCAGACCTTCCCCGACTCGCGCTCCGTGCGCTACCCCACGGTGAGCCCGCCAAGCGGTCGCTCGCGCTCGCGGAGACGCTCGTAGAAACCGCCAAAAAATGTTGTTTTTTTTCTCGCAACTTTGAGCTTCTCAGTCTATTTCATTCTATCCTTGTGAACGAAGCACTTTTAATGTAGTAGTATGAAAGCGATGAATATAGTAGTTTTGTACTGGAGGAGAGTTATATATCAAACCTAAGAAACATTTAGGGAAGAATACTTCCTTACTATATAAAATAATTGATAAATGTGTAAAATCAAGATCAATTAGATAAAATTGAATTTTTTAATTTGTAGATTTCAAAACTTTAGCAAAGGGTCTTTGACCTCGTTTTTCAAGGTTCTCAAAAGGTTCATTCCCATAAGACTTAGCCGAGTCAAAATCATGTCGCGTTCTCGCGGGATGCCGTTGACGTGTCACCAGCTAGTTCAGGCGGGATCTGGCCCTGCCAATGAGTCGCGTTGCGAGTTGATTGAGCCAGGCGGTGAGGCCGCTCTGCTTGCTTGCAGCCCGGCACGCCCAACCCAGAGGTGCACTTGTGGGTGTTGGACGTGAGCAACGCGAGCGACGTGCAACGCTGGGAAGTGAAGCCTCCGCCGGTGCTGGAAGACCAGTGAGTTCGCCACCACGGCTCTTTCCCTTACCCTCACGAACGTGAAGGAATCGGCGAATGTAGGCATGAAACCGAGAGCGGAATGCCATACTTATACTATATATTTCTTATTCTTATTCTTATTCTTATTAGTATGTTGTTGGTTGTTCCTACTGATCCTTTTCTTAATGATGGAGTTGAGAAAGAGTTCTAAATTACCACACTAAAAATCAGTAAGTAGCTATGGTGTACTGTATATTCTGCAGTACATTAACAAATCCAGAGTTTCATGAGAAGAATTTGCGATAAGTAAAAAATACTAAATCAATCTTCATTGAACAGTTTGTGTTAATAAATACATTAGGGATACAATTGTACCCAGCACTAGAGCAGCTGTTGACGACTGTAATTTGAGAGTCCGCAAACCATTCTTTGAATACTTTAAAGACAAAATTCAGACTTGTTTTAGAAAAAAATCTAAATTCTGTATTTTATAACCAAAACAAAACTAGTAAATAATATGACGAACAAAAAGACAAAACAAAAATCTAAAGTAGTTTATTCCGTACCTTGTGATGACTGCCAACTAACCTATATTGGCGAGACAAACAATATCTGACTAAGCAAGTCTACCAACACGCGTACGTTATAAACAAGGATAGTACTATATACACTTCACTTACTAGGTACAGAACAGATTGTAACCACCCATAGGTTTTACTAAAGTAAAAATCTTACGGTTTTACTAAAAGAAAAATAGTAGAAATGGTATATATCATACGGAATAACCCAATGAACACAAAAAATTATTTTCAAAAACTAAATCAGATTTATAAAACATTATTGATGAACTAAAACACTCATATTTTATTAATTATCCATCTACTTTTGTTTACTCATTGACGCTCTTTGCATTTCTACTCTTTGACTTATCGTATGTTTACCGACTTCAACATCTGGTGCATGTTTGAATGTAATGATCCTATCGTAATACTTTCCGCATGGTCTACTGTATTTGGAAGCATGTAATATATGAACAGAATGTTTTAGGATTTTAACTTTCTGTAAGTACTTTTTATATTTGTTACATATTTAGTATTATTCTAATTGAAATGGTAACCATTTACACTGTATCCTTATAGTACATCTTGACAAGATGCACGCATTCTGCACGAAACATCGATGTGTTAAAAAAATAGTAAATGGTAAACAATAAATACTAATTACTGGTATCTCTGAGGATTGATCCTGCATGGTCCTGATTGATATGCAATACTTCATCTCATCATTATTATTACTATTATTATTATTATTATTACTATTATTATTATTATTACTATTATTACTATTATTATTACAATTATTATTATTAGCAGTAGCAGTTGCAGTAGTAGTTGAACAGAAGTAGCAACATGTGGTATGACACTGCAGAAAGCAGTCGATCTATCCTGAAAGCTTTGAACTACCAATTTATAGTAACATAATGTATTATAATATATTATATTTATAATATATAATTATAAAATAAATATATTATAATTATAAACTCTAATATTTAGAATCTTAAACTTTTAAAGAAAATTGATGCTTTTCTATTCGTGTCCCACTTCATGACGAGACCAAAATACATTTTTATACAATTAAATCGCGTTTTTCTCATTTGAACTACGAAATGGAAAGTCTTTGTTACGGCCACTCGTTCTTTGCTTTCGTTCACCGATCTTGCGACGTTGAAGTCTATTCGTTACGATAATCAATAAGGCCATCACCAATATTCTCTAATGCCAGGCACCCACGGGCAAGCCCCTTTTGGCAAACCCACCTCGGGCCGCATGTAAATCAGTCGCCAACGCGATCTGCTTCATTGTTCGCACAAAGAGGACATTCCAGCGGCAACAGATTTACAACCGTCATGAGCCAGCGAGCGCGTCTTGTTCGTGAATAGGGTCCTTATGTGCTTCCAAAGCGAGGTCTAATAGTTCATAAATGTCAAGGGAACCGTATGGGAATTATAACAGTAATATTGTCGTAAGAATGTAGATTTTTTGCCTTATAAGTCACTGCTCTGACGACGAGAACTTACCTAACGTTATGAATTCATAGTGAATATATTTTTGGAAATAAATATTCAATCAAGATTTAAAATGTTCTTTAATATTATTCATTCTCAATGCTGCGGACACTACCGCACATCACAATAAGTATTATTAAAAATCGAGTTATTAATATTAACCTGCGTCAGACCTTTAGTGCGTATACAAGATGCTGAAAGTGGCACATAGTTAAGATATATTCATATTTTTAAAGTTTTCACGTCAAAATTGCCAATATTCATATAAAAATTTATGCCGAAATACATCAGTATTTTTCGTGAAGAATAGACTCGACATATCAGAAATCTATTTCAATTTTGACACCTCGTAGCAATAACAGGGTTTACGCGCCAAGTTTGACCTCAACTCCTCCTTAATTATTCAAAAAATTGAATCTGAATACAGTAACTGATTTTGAATGAAATTTGAAGATCACGTTCTCCTCAGAACGGCCGGCAGAAGCAACTACTCGAGATATGAAAATCTAATTTTGCTATTCATGATTATTTATATGACAGTCATAATTTGTAACGGTATGTCATAATGTAAGCACTTTGAAAATTATAGTTCAATTTTCGACAAAGAATTGCCGTTTTACAAAAAGTTTCACATTAATTAGCTTAATAATTTTTCACTGCAAAATATGTTCATCCTTCACCTTACATTTTTCATTTCGTGAGAAGAAAATATAAACAGAAAACAAAAGTGCTCATCTTATCTTAAAATAATATGCCTCCTAAATAGGGATTACATCCAAATTTATCTTGACACTCAGTAAATAGCTCCCTTGCTTTCTCTTATGGAAACTTTACTCAATAAATAAGCGCAGGGCGAAACGTTCCAAATGCACCGCCAAGCGGAAAAAGGCTACGCTCACAATGATTACGAATCATCAAAACAATTATGAAGCTACTTCCTTAACCTCTCTCGGTAATTAGAATATATCTTACAAATATTATTGTTCTGTAGGCTTTATGATTGAATAATTATGCATAATATGTAACTTATTTTTACACATACATTTATTCTATAAGCATAATAAGCTAATAGAGAACATACAATTTAGACTATAAGAAGCAGTATTATAATATATTAACAGAATCATAATAACATGAACATATTTAATGACGAATTTATTTTATGAAATGAAATTGTATTAAACAATTAATTAATATTAAATTTATCTTGTATTGTGAACGCACACTTCTTTATTTCAACCTCAGTTTTTCTTCAGGATGACCATGCAAAATAGAATCGTCATTATTATCATACCATTACATAATTTGTGTCATTAAGATAAATCTTGGATGTAAGGACCATACTCAGTAAGTGAAACCCAACAAAACAAATTGTTGAGTGAGAACGTTGTGTCTGTCGGCTATTGACTGAGGAATTAACGTGTGACTTCAGAAACCTCCTATATATGACCACCCTGTATGATTCAACGGTGCCGGTGCGCCGCATGCTGCACAGAGACTTCTACCTGACGTCCGCGGGCTGGGTGGGCCGCGACAACCGCCAGGTGGCGGCCATGTGGATGAACCGCGCCCAGAACATCAGCATCGTGAGCGCTTGCCACGCGCCCAACTGGACGTGCGTCGAGGTGAGTCGGCGGCGCTCGAAAGCCTACGCTTCCGCGGCCGGAGACAGGGCCTAGTGCAGGCCCTGGCCCTATTAATTAATACCCGAATACCACTCTACATTTCGCCATTCTAGAATTTCCTGGCAATGTGAGCTATTGATGTCTTAGAAACGAACCGGTCGAGAAACTTAACGCTGTGAAAGAGGTTCAAATTTTATTAATGCTTTAATTTCTTATTTTGTGTTTCAAGACAGGTTCTTTGGCCTTCCAAACTACAAATTTAGGGTAAATATTAAGTTACACAAAAAGTTATTAAACACACAATAGTATGAAACAAAAACGATAAAATTAAGAAAATATAAGATACAACAATAAATAGCTGATAAACGTTCCGAAACAACTCGCACATTTCGCAAATGAAAAAAAAATTTCACAAGAAAATTGTACAGACTTACTCTTATAAAAACGATGTTGCCTCCCGTAGTGCCAATATTTCCATAGAGAAAAAAATATTCGACAAATATTCACGAAAGAGTTGCAACTACTGAAAAAATATTAAAAAATAATAAAAAATTGAGATACAAGTTTTACCTTAAAAACGAGTTGAAAGAAAAAACTTAAATATTAGAGGTGGTCACAACAATGAGGCCAGAAACTACTTGGCTGTTCGGGAGATGCCGCTCCTAGGCCCAGACGCCGACGTTTCTACCGTCATACTGCGACTTTCCTCAGGGCAAAAAGGCCTAGTGTGCAACTACTCCCGGGCAGCTAAGTGAATATTACAGCCGCTGGCCTGCGTGCGAGTGGGCGCGCGTGTCGGTGCGTGTGTGCGTGCGTGTCCTCACTCCCGTGCTTAATCCGCTCTCTCTGCTTCCACGCCGCCGTCGCGGTATCTGCGTACCATCAGGTGCTCTCGAGGGCGGCGCAAGGATTTACGCGCGATGGCGATTGCATCGCGCCCTTAAACGCTGCTCCCGAGAGGGTTTATTGAGATGAGCTTTCTGCTGGATGCATTAACGTCATGGAAAATGCTGATGCAAAAAAAAAACTAAGTAAATGTAGGTTATGAGTCATTAAGACGCTTTCGGTTTGGCTATAGTGTCCGATAATATTTTCAACGTGTCGAACATTTCCAATACAAATTAAATGTTCATGTGGATTCTTCAGAAAAATATCGTGAAATACAGAACTAGTACCCGCGCGTCCCATGTTAGAATGTTGTAGGACGCAATAATTTGCGATCCGTAGAGTATTTCACAACAATGTAATCTAGGAAAAGGCTCAGCAACAAATATAGAAATTTACTGTCAGAATTTTTAAGAATATTGAAGTGGGGTGATTTACTCCAAAAAGGCAACTAAAGGCAAGTAAAGCAACTCTGTTATAAAAAAGTTCAATATGCAGTAGAAATCCTGTAATCCGAACTAATTGGAGATGTGGTCTGTTCACATTTTGAAAAGTTCGGGTTACCCGAATAAACCGTACATATAGAAATACATCAATAGCATTACCAGACAATGCAACGTAGCTTGCGATGTG